TTGACCAAATGGTAAAGAGAAAGGCTAAGTCTGAGATAGTCATGTGTACCATTCCCAAAGAGTCCATATGCTTATATTGCCAAAGGAAGGGGCATTGGTTGCGAAGCTGCCTTATTTACCTGAAAGATCATAAGGTTGGTCAAGTCAAAAGTTTGACTCTACTTCAGGTAAGTCCACTGTCTAACTCTGTTAAGTTCCATTTGGAGATTCTTATTACTTGATGTGACTGGGTCACATGTTGAAGTTTTAAGAATCAAAGAAAAGAGAGGAAGCTTAAAGAAGAGTAAGCTGATTCTGATCGCGAAGATGGATTTCAATCGCATGGTTCGATGATCAAAATTTTTGAGCTGCTGCTTAAGAGTTGTGATAGATTGCTTAAGAATAGATAACAACATAGTTTTCATATGCATTTGCATTGTAAGGATAAGTTTTTCCGCAAGTTTAAAATAAAAGAAAATTTTTGTTTTATTTTGAGTATCCTTACAATGGCATCTGTTGAAAATTGTTGTTTATATGATTCCCGTGATAGCAATAATGGAAATGTGAATTTGATTCTTTCATTTGTGGTAGTGTCTAAATTTACCAAATAAGGAAAGATTCTCATCACCCAAGTTTTCAGTTGGATAGAAACTTGGAATCATACAAGTTGTATAGTATGATGAATGAGAATTTTCATCTTTGGAAATTAAGACTAATTCCTTGTTCACATTTATATGTGAGTCAAGTGAAGAACTAAGGGATCGAGTACACATTCTTGTGCACTGGTCAAGTCCACCACAAAAGATCGATAAGACTATTCGTCATGATTTACTAAAGTTTAGTAAATATGGTTATACTTACCAGCTTAAGTATAATTCTGAAACATTGGGATTCGATGTTTTGCAGAACGAATGAGAAGAATCAAATTAGGAAGAAGGATAAAAGTTTCTCAAATCTGAAAAGATGGGAGAGTACTTTAGTATCATGTTTGGTGATCATCTTAATGATTAAGAAACCATATCACAATTGGTCCTCTAAGGACATCTTAGTGCATTCTTATGGCTAAGAAGAGGAATTATAAATTGTTGAAGTGGTTAAATCAAGAAGATGAGTCATACTTCGTTCCAAAACAAATCTTAGAGTCATACTCCAAGATTGTAACTTGAGTGACATATCTTAAAGAAAGGTTTATAACACTTGTCAAATGTAAGAGTAAAATGTGTCATACTCTTGTACATTTGAAATTGGTAAGTTGTGCTGTCTCGTATGAGTCTGAGAAGCTTAGATAAAGTTTTGTCGAAGCATCTCGTATCAGAAGTCTGAACTTTAGTGATGAAAGTCAATAAAGTATTGATTTCTAGAAGTCGATTTTTGAGTACATGTCAAAACTAGTGGGAGCATAATTGTTGTGCTAAATAATTATTATGCTAGTGGGAGCATAATCAATTATGATAAGTAGTGTTAATTATAGAAAACAAAAGTTTTGCTTGGAAAAATGTTGTTTTTGCTATAATTAAGGGAGAGGAGATTATACTTCATTTCAATCCTAAAAGTTTAGATTGAGATTTCAATCATCTTTAGTCAAGGATATATATATATATATATATATATATATATATATATATATATATATATATATATATATATAAATGAATTTTATGTTGGAATGGTTCAACATAAGGGAATTCTATATATATTGCGTTCTCAAATTCGATTATGATTACGACATTCGTCTTCATAGTCGATTTTTGAAAACATGACAAATAAAAAATATTGTAGCAAAAGACCGATCTAGTATCAGGTCTTTATGTGAGACATCATGAATCGTGTCCCATATGCTTCGGGTATAGGATCGATCACATGTGCTATAATATTTATCCGTTCCAAAATTTTCAAAAATACTTAGAGTATTAAGAGGGAAAAAGGAATAGAACCGGATATGACTGAAATGATTAAGCAATTGTCGAGAACAATCTGAGGTTTACCTAAGATTGGTTTCTCATGGACAGTTGGAAGTATGATGTTGGAAAGGTCCATAACGACATATTCTGAAAAGAGGTAGCTCTTGTTCAGAAGTGATAATCAAAATGGGAATATGGAAATGTTTTTCATATTGGGAGTTGGATTTTAAGAATCTTTGAGAAAGTTAGAAACTTTTATGCAAGAAGGATATTCAAGGGAATGTACTTTGAATGTGAGACTTCGTTTCCATGGAATTGATCTCCACTGGAATACTTTGTAATGTCTGTTGCCAAGTCTCTGTGACATTTGTGCATAGTCATTGCAAGAGGAACAATGCATATGAGTTTAAAATCTAACAGATTACAATAAATGACAAGAATTTGATATCCTTACATTCACGGTAAGGATTTGAGATTGTGAAATGAGCATCATTGAAATTGTGTTCAATTGATCTACTTCACAAAGTAAGGATCATAGACAAACATAGTTTGCATACTTGGAGTATGACATGACTATTGTTTAGAAAACAAAGTGTACATGCTTGGAGCATGAGACAACTATTGTTTTAATTCAAGTGTTAAGTTGATAAATCGAAACAAAATAATGTGGAATCAATATGGTGATGAATAAAAGGTGTTTTATTTATATTCATAAGTGCTGAGACCATATTGGATTCAATTATTCTTGTGTTTCACTTTGCATGTTTTGACTTCCATAATAACTAGGTTATTCTTTCCGAATGACTAAGTTATTCAAACTTCCACAGTCGGTCATACGTCGGAAGTAGGTATGAATTAAGACTGTCATGAATTGGGCTTATAGATGACTAAAGGTGTTTAGCCATAGCAATGGTTGCTACAACATTCATGAGTGCTCAGAAGTTCTGAGTATTGGAATAAACCCACACTCACTTGCATCACTTCATGGAATTTATCTCGAGTGATCGTGAGATAGTAATATCATATAAGTCTTCAAACCTAGAGATATGAGTTGTTACCTATGAGTTGGTTGTACATTGATTGCACGAAAAAGCATCATTAACTTGATGTTATAAAACGTGCCTTTGTGTATAATTCAACAAGTAGTAGAAACAAGTATATGAGTCGAAGTTTATCTGTTCCTTCTAGTCCTTGGAGGATTAGAAGAGATATATGGGCCCCTCGATGATTTTGTTTTAACCTATGTACCGGGCCCGATCAGAACTAAATTGATTTGTTCGATTAAGTTCTTTGTCAAACAAATCGGAAATCGGGAAACAAACTGCTGGACAATAAGTAAGACATTGTTCCATGTATTTGTTCGACTGATATCATGAGAGCAGAGGATTATATGATCACTTATCTAAAATGGCGCTTCATAGTTCAACAGAGTTTTCGAGAGCTACGATTGTCGGTTGGTTCCTGAAGCTATATAGGCAAATACAATTACCAGACTTATCAAAGTGGGAGACTGTTGGATAAGGTGTCTAAGTCCATAACTTATTTGGTATATAGTTGACCCGACCCGACATGGTCCATTTGGGTTGCACTTCACCCGAACTATTTATATGGATAATATTATGAGAATAGTATGTTTATGACTTATTAATATATTATAAGTTATAATATATTAATATGAAATCATATTATTTAATTAGTATTGATCTTAAATTAATTATGAATTAATTTGGTGATCAAAAGGTGACTAATTAAATATGGGCTATTATATTTATATAGTGTGGGCTAATACTCATTAGGAAATGGGCAAAGCTTGCATGGGAGTCCATGGATGATCCATTGAGCTTTTAACTCATGGATCCTTGGAAAAGACATGGGTTATTAGGGTTTACATGGTTCATAACCCTAATCATCTACACTATATAAAGAGGCTTGTGATGCTTGAAATGTGACTATGTGTGTGTGCATAAGAGTGGTCGATTTCTAGAGCAAACATACTCTCTCATAAAGTTTTCCAAGATTGTGGTGTTTTGTGATTTCCATTTAAGGCATTCACATTATTGGTGCTAGACTCTCAAACTCCTAAGGAATCAACTCACTACTAAAGGTATGTAATTCTTCTAGTTTCTTTTATGTTTAAAAGTACCCCCATGCCATGCTAGATAGGTTATGAACCTTGGAAAAATTATTTTGCATGTATTTTAGCCAAACATAGATCCAAGGTTTCTAGGTAATGTACACCTTAGGAGTGTTAGAATGTGTGGTGGTGCGATGGTATTTTCGTTCTATCTTGTCTCTTTAACCTCCTTAACGATGACGACAACCATAACCGAACCCTCGTCTTTTGAATTAACCAATATTTGCTTGAGAATAAGGAACTTAATGGAGACGATGAACAACGATGATTACCGTAAAAATAGGGTTTTAAAACAGCAGCCTTGAACCGAAAGATCAACATTGATCGGATTACGCTCAGCCTCGTCAGAAATCTCTAAAATTGAAGCTTTTTGGAGTTGTACTCTCCTAGAAGAGATCAATCATGAACCGCTCTAGTTGTTGCTTAACAACAATTATTTAACAGAAATTCGGCTTCTCCTTCTTATTCGTCTCTGATAGGGTTATAGCGGGAAACGGGGGAGATAAAGAATAAAGAAGGAAGTAACATATTGATTTGTGTTGATGATATATTTCCGATTTAGGGAGATTTGGGTTGATGATTGATCTCTTCTCGGAGATTACAACTCCACGGGCTTAAATGCAGAAAAAACTGTTGAAGATATTCTCTAAGTCGAATGAAGGAATCATGTTTCCATTTTAAATGCAGATCTAGTTCCTAATTTTTCTCTACCTAATTTTTCTCCACCGTGATTTGAATTGACCAAAGGGAAAATTCGGAAATTCACTTAGATTAGGGAAGGCTAAGAGATTGCCACTTTGCAAAATTGGTTTTATTTATTAGATTAGGGGATTCCCATCCGTAACATATTATTTGTATCTCACCCGTAAATTAATAATACAAGCTACAATTAAAGTATAGGGACCTCCATGTCAAACTGATAAAACTTATGGACCGGGATATAAATATGTTCTTCAAAGCCGAGCGGACTCTTCGCTTAATTTGTTCATCGTATTTGTTTTCTGTTACGTAACAGAATCATTCGATCATTATATCATTGTATAGTCAACTCAATTCAATCACAGAACCTCTCTCTTGATCCAATGGCGTTCCTTGGATCAAATATGCCGACTGAGGTAATCAAACTCCATCTCTAATTTGTTAGGGTTTTTCTTTTGTTTTTGACTTGTTATAGTAAATTCAAGCATTTTCTCAATGATCGAGCTTGATTTTACTATCAATGTTCTGTTATCTGTTTTTCGAATACTGGAAATATAGATATTGAATAGTTAAGTGGCTTGAGAGTTAAGAAGGTTTACTGTGTGGTTAAGTATCTCTCCGGAACCAATTTTACATTAGTTACACTAACAGGTTCGTTTAGCCGATGATTTTTGTTGAATTTGTCGAGTTTTATCTTCGGAGATGAAAGGGTAAATGATTTGTGTAGATGTTTGTTTTTTTTTTTTTAATTGTATCGTGATCTTCTTCATCAGTGCATCAGAAAAACGGTTTTACATAATCTGACTAATCAATTAACTTTTCTAACTCTAATATGAGCTCCAAAATCAAATTTACACTATAATGCACTTTCAGGTGCTTTTTGTTATGAAACTTATCTGCTCTTCACCTTTGATCTGAACTGATTTTGTGTTACTAATGCAGGCTGGTTTGAGATTGCTTCTTGTCCCCCTTAATTCCAATATTGTAATCCGAACAGCATGGTAATTAATAAGCTTTGAAATGATGATTCATTCATTATAAAGTAATCTATTTGTTTAATTAATATCTGAATGATAAAATTGATGTATGATTATTGTTTGTGCAGCTGCACTGTGGGGGTTGCATTACCAGTTTACTCCACATTCAAAGCAATAGAGGCGAAAGATCCAAATGAGCAACACAAGTGGCTTTTATACTGGGCAGGTAATTAGTGAATGCTATATTCATACACATTAATTTTGATTTAATGATCTGTTTCTGTTTACATGTATATATAATTTTTGCAGTTTATGGGTCTTTTAGTGTTGGAGAGATATTTGCAGACAGATTCATATCCTGGTATTTATTATCTTCAAACAGAAAAACTTTTTTTTTTCTTTTGGTATAACTATTAGCATTCTCAAGTTTCCATTAGTGAACTCCTTGTTTACTTTTTCAGGTTTCCACTTTACTATCACATGAAGCTTGCATTTCTTGCTTGGCTTCAACTTCCCACCACAAATGTAAGCAAACTTTTTTAATATTATGATAAATTTAACAATCCCAACTCAACATCTAAAACATATCAAAATCAAACTTTGATCTGTTGTGGTGTCCCTCTTTTTTATTCCCCTTTTTCAACCCAATCTCTGATTCTAATTCCATTATGACTCTTTTAGTTTTGATGCTAATTACTTTACAATTCTACAGGGGGCTAAGCAATTATATATGAATCATTTGCGTCCTTTATTATTAAGGCATCAAGCTAAGCTTGATCAAATTGTGGGGTTGTTCTACAATGAAGCTGTAAACCTCTTCACACTCGTTTTTTTGTTGCATAATCAACTGTTTATACTTTATATTGTAGTTGTTTAAAAGACATTAAAGTTAATAATCTGATAAATGTCTAGTCAAAAGTTAACAAGGGAAGACTTTCAGGGTAAATTCGTCAGTGCTCACCAAGGTGAATTTCAGTTTATGAAGACAATTATGATGAAGTTTCTGATGTCAGGTATATCTTGTGATGCTTTTTTTGCTTGTTTCTTATATGAACATGATAAAAACTCATTAAAACCCAAAATAAGAATAATGTAAAAGTATATTTTCTTGTTACTTTTCAGAAATTGAACTTGTCATTTTAATTAAAATTGTATTATACTTATAGTAGAATTTTTTAATCAGTGAAGCAGTTGATCAACGGTAGCAGTCAACCCGTTGCAACACAAGAGAGAAGAGCAATTGTGGGTCCACGTCAACAGGTGGAATCAGATGATGATGATGATAATGATGATGATGATGATGAATACGTATCTGTTTCTGCAGCATCTTAGGCTTAATAAAACATTGTCTATATTTTAAAACTTCTTATTAGAGTTATCCTCCTCCTAGTTCTAGAATTATTGCAACTTAATCTTTAGCATGCTTTTTTAATAGCTCTTTTGTCTGTTTATGTAGTTGTTTCCCGATGTATTGTACTGCATTTGACTAGGACTAGGACTTGTTGTCCCATCCAACAAGGTGGGACACAGACTGGTTCTCTCGATATCTTGTCTGTTCAAAAGACTTGAATGTCCTTCTCATCTTTATCATCTGAATTAGTCTTAGAAAAAGTCTTTGCCCTGTATAAGACATGTGCCATGACCTCTCATAATTTTCATCAAACTTGAAACTAGCATAATCTCTTAATAAAAAAAACCTGAAAATATAATACTATAAACAGATAAAAGAAAATTACAGCAGTCTTTATAATAAATATTCTTTTAACAACTATATCGGTATAGTAAATTGCTATAATTTATAGAGGAAAATTTTATATGTTTCCTCCTAAATTGTTTTGTGCACTCCTTTGTGAGTAAGATAGTGTTTGTACCCCATGATTTGACAATTTATGTGAGTGAGATGGTGGGTATGTATAGTAGCATCCTTTATAAATCAGCAGAACATATGGTTAGAACATTTACAGTTATTGGTATTTAATGATTTTTTTTGGGTTTTTCTATTTTATTTAACAAAAACTTAGTATTATCAATGCTCTCTGATCATTAAGCATTTTCGGATACATATATAATAATAATAATAATAATAATAATTAACAAATTATCCTCACGTTTTTGAAATATTCTATAACCGTCATCTATTTTGTCATTTTAAGTGCATGTCATATTTAAAAAAAAAAGTATTACTTTACAATAACATTTGTTTTGACCGGCAAAATTTTTATTAACTAGCAAGACGATCGGAAAAAAAGACCTATTACAAGATAAAAATAGCAAATGTTGGATTTTGAAACCCGCCAACTCAATTTTATATTTTGCTTCTATTAAGTATCTCAAAAAGAAACAAGAAATGATTAAGTCACATACGATCGCCTTCTTTTGTTCGACTTATCCAAATAATTTAGTGTTCTTATGCTTCCGTAACATCCAACACGTTGACAAGATCACCGCTTCAAACCGACTTTTTTGAGCCTTAGTTTCGGTTTTTGGCACGTATAAGCTAACTTATTTTTTGAGCTTATCATAGCTTATAGCTAGTTTTTTAGAAAACTATTTGAGATTGTTTACTGATAAGCTAGTTTATAACCTAAAAACTACTTTTTCAGTTAGCGTGTCAAACACAACATTGATATATGATAAATTAACACGCTAAGAAAACAAACCTGAAGAAAGATAGGTTACAATCCCACCACTGAGCAATAAAAGACCAATCATTAAAGCTAATAGGCAACTCATCAAGACATGCAAAATTGATAGTTATTTTGATAAAAAGAAAACGATGAACAATATAATTTTGTTAAATGCTATAATTTCGTGATATTCTTTTAGATCTTTGTTAATTGAGGGACTATTTTTGTAATTCTAGTTCTCATTTCTTGTTTCCAGAGTTAAAATTGATAAAGTCATAACAACGTACAACTTCCATTGTTTAATGTACAAGTAATAACTTGATGAGTTTTTCTTTTTCCAGTCAGCAGAGTCCAAATGAAAGAGGTTTTATATCGTTCAAGAAAACCTTCTTGGAGCACAAGCGATGCCATAGACGCCGATTCACCGGAGACGATAATTGAATCCAATTGCTTCCTCTTTCACAAAACCCTATATACATTTACCCTCTCTCTTCACATTTTCGCTCTCTAAAACCCTCGTTTTTTAATATCGCTATGGATATCGACTTCTCTGAGTACCGGTTACGCTGTCAGCTTCGAGGTCATGAAGACGACGTACGTATCATCTATCTACTCCTTCATTGTAATTCATGCATACGGGGGTTTCCAGTAGATTAAGTTGCTAACGAGTTCAATTTTTTATTTTTTTTACTTTATGATCGGGTTCGTGCGATGGTTGGGAGAATGAAATTGGAATTTGAACCATCTTGTAGTTGATCTAGGTTTATTTTTTGATTTTTATGTAGATTTTGTTATCTCTATCGCATTCATCTGATTGACATTCTGATTACTATACGGCAATTAGTATTTTAGATTCCTTTGGTTCTGAAATTAGCGATGAATTTTGAATTGTTTGTTTAATTGTTAGGTTCGTGGTATATGTGTATGCGACAATGGTGGAATAGCAACTTCATCAAGAGACCGAACCATTAGGTTATGGTCTTTGGATCAGACTAACAATTCTTCTCACACTTCATCAAAGATACTACTTGGGCATACTAGTTTTGTTGGACCACTAGCTTGGGTTCCCCCTAATGAACAGTTTCCAGAAGGGGCCCTTATATCTGGTGGAATGGACACCCTTGTTTTGGTATGGGATTTAGCAACAGGCGAGAAAGTTCAGACACTGAAAGGGCATAAAATGCAAGTGACAGGAGTCACTTTGGATGGATCAGACATTATATCTGCATCTGTTGATTGGTTAGTTATTTGTTTTTGGAATTTTTGCTATATTCCCAATGAATTTTTTGCCTATCATAGTGCTTGATGTTGGTTTTCATTCTCTTTTACTTCATGAAAGTACACTAAGACGTTGGAAGGGAGAACATCAAGTTGAGGTTTGGGAAGCTCACAAGGCACCAATCCAAGCAATAAGGACATTACCTTCCGGAGAGCTTATTACAGGTTGAAATACATCTTGTTCATTATTTCACATTGTCTGATTTTATTTTATTTTATAAAAGAAGAATCTTTCTGATATAATTGTTATCCAGGTTCAAGTGACACAACTATAAAGCTTTGGAAGGGAAGCAAATGTACACATACCTTTTCTGGGCACTCAGGTATGTTTCTATCTTTGTATTTGTTAAAGCGTGGGCAGCAAATGTTAGTGCATACACATATAAATAGATAAGTATTATATTGAAAGGTAAGTGCTTTCAGTGTATCTGTCTTTTTTCTTTCTTTGTGAATTGTGATCTCATCATACTTTATCCAGATGTGCCTCATCTATGGGCTTGTTTTACTTGAGGTAAAAGCTGGTAGAAATGAAAATGATGTTTAACTAGAATTAAGATGAACAAATCACACATTTACACACGCTAGATTAGTTGAACACTCAGTCCGTCGTATTTATCTGAGAGAATTACAATTATTTGTATTTGTATATAGGCATAGCAGTTAAGTCGGTTAACCTTTACTCCAATAATTGCTTGCCACGTGTTTTCAAGATACTGAGAATCTTTATGTGTTTGTCTTCTGACTTCCGATCTCTCTTCTTCAGAAAGCATATATGTATCTTAATACTTTTGATCTCAACATACATCACTTTTTGATTCAACAAGATGGTATACTGATGCATTTATTGTTTGGAAATGAATGTTATTTAATTTGCAGATACAGTGAGAGGTTTAGCCATAATGCCTGATTTGGGCATACTTTCTGCATCACATGATGGGTAAGATTTCTCTTAAACACAATAGATTCTGATTTTTTTTTTATGATTTTCTTTTTTTAAATTTCGGGTCATCTTGGTTTTATAAACAGAACCATAAGATTATGGGCAGTGACTGGTGAGGTTTTATTGGAGATGGTTGGTCATACTGCTATTGTGTATGCTGTTGATGCTCATAAATCTGGGCTTGTGGTCAGTGGTAGTGAAGATGGATCAGCTAAAATATGGAAAGGTAATGAATATATATATCTTGTTCTTTCCATTATTGAATTTTAACTGTTTTGGAGTGTAGTTATTGAGAGTATGTGTTTTTGGGTTGTAGATGGAGTTTGTGTACAAAGCATAGAGCATCCTGGTTGTGTTTGGGATGTGAAATTCTTGGAAAATGGTGATATTGTGACTGCATGTTCGGATGGGGTTGCACGTGTTTGGACTGCACATAAAAGTTTGATAGCTGAGACCCAAGAACTTGAGGGATATGCTTCTCTACTTTCGCATTACAAGGGCAGCAGGTATCTTAACAATTTTGCCCTTTGTATCAGAAATATTATATAAGATTTTAATAGATTGTATCATTAAAGTTTTGATAATAAATCATATCTTGATTTTGTTTTTGTTAGGAAGCGAGTTGGAGGGTTGAAATTGGAGGAATTACCTGGTCTAGAAGCTTTGCAGGTTCCAGGTACCATCAATATTAGGGCCACACCACATGAAACTATATATTTTTTTTATTGTTATTTGAGCATTCTATGATATTCAATTGTGTAGCAACTGTTTTAATTGGGGTTATTAATTATTGGGGGATTCAAAGTTGTCTTTGTCTATTTGATTAGCTTATCATTTTCTTCGTCTCATTAACTGTAATAATACTCTTTGGATTCATCTTTGAGATATATATCATTCTTTTAACGATAACATCTTTGAGATTTGTTTGCAAATGCAATAATCTTGGAACAACGGCTCTTTAAAAGATTTGGGAAAAAAGTTTTTTTAATTCAAAAGCCCTTTGATCAGGTACCAAAGATGGACAGACAATTGTTGTGCGTGAGGGTGACAATGGTGTTGCATATGCATGGAATATGCAGAATCAAACATGGGATAAGGTATTATTCTGAATGATGTTTAATGCACTAAATGATTTGATTCTAATCATCAATCAGGTGTGATGATATGTTGTTCTCATTAATTAGCATTTTCTTTTGCCTATTTCAGATAGGGGAAGTAATTGATGGGCCTGATGATGGCAATGGCATGAAGCGCCCGGTTCTTGATGGAGTACAATATGATTATGGTGAGCCTTTTGACTTTTGACTTTTTTTTTTTTTTTTTCCTACTGATACCACAAAAACTTGTAAATCAGTGTTTGATGTGGATATTGGAGACGGTGAACCTATTCGCAAATTGCCATATAACAGATCAGGTAGTTTCTTTTTTTTATATCAAGATATGATTTGGTAACATAATGGATCATTATTAAGAAAAAAGATTAATTTGCAAAAAAGTTGCTTGTGTTTTCAATTTTGGTCTTCATTTCAAGGTTTCATGTTGATTTTGGTCCCTAGAAGCTTGAAATAAGGACGAAAGTTGATATGAAATCTTGAAATAGGGACTGAAATTGATATAAAACCTTGAAATCAGAAAGTCCTTCTTGGGA